CAGCGTTGTTAAGCGGCTGGGCGCCGCTTTGACACGAGGTCACATTCCTGGCCGCCAGTCGCCGCCAGAGAAAGTCTCGCGCCGGAGCACGCCGGCCGCAAGGCTTCCGACCTTCTCCAGGCTCGTCGCTGCCGCAGAGCTCGAGGGAGAGCCGGCGGACGACACTGATGAAGACGAGGACGACTGAGCCGTCGAGAAAGGTGGAGCGGGCAGCAGGAAGCCGCCGGTGTCCGACAGGCTGTGATGGAATGGCTTAACGATCTCGGCGAGGTCAGGGAGAGCGAGACTGCGATCCGACGGCGCATCTACATAAGACGGCAGAGCTCGGAGCAGGCACAATTAGATAGTTCTAAGTGAGAGGCACTCACGTTTTAACCGCACGGAACGGGACTGGCCTAGCGCGTCGTGTCTCGTTCAGCTCACTAATTCCCCCGACGATGGCCGTGAGAGCGGGGCCTTACTGGCCTCGGTGCCGCGTGATTCGGCGCCGGCCCGTTCTCCGGGCGTGATCGTGTGCACGCGACGCACCTGAACCGCGGTGACCCCAGGTCGGTTCTCACGCGAGAGGCGGCGCGGCATTGGCCGACGCACGCCTTGCAAACACCGAGGTTCATTGAGCACCGTTCGGAGAGCCCAGGCAGGGACTGCTTTACGATCTCTGGACGAACGGGTCGATCGATGTCTTCGGGCAGAAGTGTTGCGACAACAGAGCCGGCACGTGATGTCATGAGAAGCGGGTAGTAAGATTGTGGAAGCCTCACAGTGTAGGCCCGTGCACGCGGCTGTTGCACTGGCACGGCATGCGGAATGTGTGCGTGTGCTACGTACTGTGAATTAAACAGTACTGACCTGGGTGTGTCAGTGGGACGGAAGTGTCCTGACTGCTTTAGTGAGGTGATGCTGACATGGCAGTGACAGCGGACGATACTGACCTGACCGTGCCGGGCGGCGGAGTGCAGTAGAGATGTCGCTCCCTCCTCAGGGAGCAGGCGGGATGCCACGGGGGAGCGGTCCGCCAGCCACCGCACCACCTCCAGTTGGCCACACTGCAACGCCGGCACCACCAAGTCACGTCAAGTCACCAAGTCAAGTCAAGTCAAGTATCGAGTCCGATAGCGACGCGCACAGAGCGCATCAAAGGAAGGCCTGCATATGCTGGGGCACCCAACAAAAGTCGCCAAAGTCCAGCGCCCCCAACAAAAGTCGCCAAAGTCCAGCGCCGTATCTGGGAGAGGGTTTGTTTTGCGGGTCAGTAAGGCCGGATTAAGTTCGCCGGCCTGCAAATTTGGAAATGCAGATGCTACTCACGCAACGTCAGTGCATTTCTGGATTCACGTTTTGGACAACAATCTCTCCTAGGCTAGATCTTTTCATAAGACGTTCGTTCCCTGCGACCACCCGCCTTCAGTCCGTTGCATTCTATTTTTAGTTTGATCTACTCGATACGGGATTAGTTGAACACGGACTTCACATGCAAAGTTTGGTCTGACGAGGAATGGAACTTTCCGTTCATTCGAAAAAAAACAACACAAACTACTAACTTGAGTGCACCCTGAGACTGTCCACAACACGCAACAAGGCATTGGACCATCGTGTCTGGACCGCCTAATTGAGCCGCCTCCCGTCCGGCACTCAGCAGCGGGCCTCCCCGGTGAGGCAGTCCACGCGCGCCGGCGGAGTCACGGCGCCGGGCCGTGACTCGAGTCTGGCCGAGTCGTGACTCGGTCGGCACCATCCGTCAGCGGACGGACGGCCGGGTTCGTCTCAGCCGCTTGTTAGCCGGCCGACCGTGCGCGCGGCGCAAGCTGGGCGCGGGATCTCCGTGACGTCAGGCGACCGAGGTGCCGCGCCAGCGCGTCGCACGAGGCGCCCGAGCGGCCGGTGGGCGGTATCATCCCATCGGAATGCGCCAGAGTCGCGGAACGCGCGAGACTTCGGCTAAGCGGGATGCGGCCTTCCGGCTCGGCGGCTTTCCGAAGAAAGTGATGGAGAACACCAGCAGTGAGAACACGTGGCGGCACAGCTTATTCAAGATCTGTCGTTTCATAACATATCTCTGCTTTAGCGCGTGGTGTTCTCGCGGGAGATACTCATCTCCGAAAAATGAAGGGGATTTTACGACGCAGTTTTTTCCAAACCGTCAGTATGACGTTCGGGCAATAGATGAAGGCGTCAGAGCAGCTCGAAAGCCAATAGCTCGCTGTAAGGCTATCCGCTGTTTAGCGAACGTCTCAGGCGAGCCGAGAAAGGTCTCATGCTTGTCCAACATTCTCGCCGTTTATCATCAGCAGTCAGCCTAGAGTGGTTCGCGTCACGCTGAGCTGATCGTGAGGCCAAGCATGCCTTCCAAGGGACACCCGACAAGCCACTCCACCTCCCACTACCCAACCCACCAGCTGATATGCACGACTTAACCGATTTTTCGCGGATAGCCTCTGCAAGGCGCATGCCCCATGGCGGCGGTGGCAAGCAGCAGCGGTGGACGTCACGAGCAGCCGCCGCCGAGCACACAGATGTTATCCCCGTTTGCAGTCCATTACCGTCGTGTCGGCTGGCGCTTTTTTTCGGCTCACCAGGGCGCCAGTCCCACGGCCAAGCCACCCTGACCGGGGCCGAGCCGGAAAGTGGCTCAGAGACCGGGGCCCGGGCCTCTGGGAGAGATCCGACGGGCGACGTTTTGCGCCGGAAGTGGACCCATTGATCCTGGCGCGGCCGCCGGGCGCGAAAGCAGCGGCGCCGCGGCGTTCGTTACGGTTTTCCGCCGGCGAATGAGCAATGACCTCGTTCGCCACCGGTGGCGAGCGCAGGAGGCGCTCTTAAAGGGACCGTTCGAAGTGATTTTAGTCGAGTGACTTGCAAGGAAGTGAGCCCTGAAAAGGAGACGCCTATTCCGAGAAGCGTTTCTCAAAGCCTCGCGCCGCTGCCTCTGAGCCGCCATGTGGCGCCTGAGACGCCAACGCGCGACCGTCCTCCGTCGCATCGCATTACAAAGCGACTGTCCTCCGTCGCATCGCATCACAAAAGTACGACTGTCACTACAGTGATGCAAACCAGCCCCGCACTGACCCATTTCCTCATGCTTTGGTGCGTCAACGCCTATAGCATGAATACGCATGACATTTCCACACCCAGTGCGCCCATAGCGGCAGGTTCAGCAGCCGGCGCAGACCAGAGGTGGCGGCGCATCTCTTACCCTAACGGCGGCGAGGCACGGTGTCAGGCGGCGCTCGTTCTCCCGCCAAAGGACGCTGGTCAGCTCGGCACCGTGCGCTTCGGCCAGCCAGGCCAGCGCCTCCACGTGGCCACAGGCCGCCAGCACGTGCGCTACTGTGTTGCCACGCCGGTCCCGCAGGTCGCGGAGAGATGACGGCTCCATGGCCGCCAGCGCGACGTCCTGCGAACGGCCAGGTTGTCCGTAGTCAACAGCGTATTGGACGTTGGCAACCGTTGCTTATTGGGGCAAGGATCTTTCGCTCATTTTGCAATGCATACAATTGGCACGAGTGATATCGTTGGAGACCTGTGCTCAGAGTGGCGGAGGGGTCAGGTTATTTTTGGGACCCAAATTATGGAATATGTGGTGCGGATCTAATCGGTAATGTGATCTCGGGAAGATCCGGTATCTCAAACCTCAACCCTCAAGATTCCCACTCTCGACATGCATCGCTGTAGAGCATCTCCCGTGGATTGCGTCCAGAAACCGCAACACAGCCGTCGTAAAGATTCGAGTTCACGGCCTTTTCATCACGAGACTCTCACCAAACGACCGAGTCACGATGTGCCCATTGCTCAGCGCAACATGTCATACTTGTCATCGAGGCTGTTTCACGAAACATGCGTTTTTCATCGTCAATGGTTGAAAACAGCAAATGCATCGCCACAAGATATGCGGGTGAGATCACCAGCCACCCCTCAACAAGGTGCTGAACCACACCGTCGTGATTGCTTGCATTGGACTGTGGGAGCATTGATAGCGTTCCTAGCATTAGACTGGAGTGCGTTAGTGTGCGTGTTTGAAGTTTTTCATGATAGATTTTAATCGTAGGTACTTTTGCCCATGTAAGTTATAGGTTGTGTTGAAAGTGGTTAAGAGTAGCTACAATTTATGGACGCGTTCGTCGTTCGCAATGCGATACGACACGCTCCCGCCTGTTCCACTCACCAGCTGCGTGACGTCTCCTTCCGCCGCCAGGTCGAACACCTCTCGGACCTTATCGGCGAGCCTCGCCGGGCTGTCATGCCTCTGGCGTCGGCCGCCGTCTCGAGCTCGGCCGCGGCCCTGACCCCTAACCCGGCCGCGCAGGTGCAGCAGGGTCGGGTCAGGGCGCCGGGTCGGCACGGGCGGCGGCGGGCTACGCGCCGCTTCGGCCAGCAGCCGTGCGATGGCCACGTCTCGGCTGCCGGGATCCGCTGGCTGTCGGACCACGGGAGGCCGGACGTCCGGCCGGGCGGCACGCCCTCCGTCTGCCCCCGCGTCCACCTCATTCGCCTCCTCGTAATTCACGGCTTCGCCCACCTCGTGTTGCGCTGCGTTCGCGACGTCGCTTAGAGCTTCACTGTGTCTGTCAGCACCAGATGCGTCCACGTCCACGGCAGTGCGTCTCACGTCCACGTCCGTGCCTCTCACGTCCACGAGCACGGCTCCCGTTCGTGCGCTCCCCTCCCTGCTCCTGTCCACAATCTCCGCGCCCCCCGGCTTGGTGCCGCCCGTTCTTCCGTTAGTGTCCGCTCGTTCGCCTCTTCCCCCGATTATTCCTCCTCTTCCTCCTTCTCCTCGGTGTTCGGGGCCGTCTCGTCCGCCTCCTCCTCGGTCGGTACCGTCGCCTGCCCCGCCTCCCCGGTCGGCACCGTCGCCCACACCCATCCCGCGCCGGCTGGCCGTCTCTCGCGCCATCTCGCTGAGCGTGTCGATGATGCTGACAGCGCGCACGGCCGGCGCCGCCAGGCCGGCGCGGCCCGGAAACTCATACAGCTTCTCCAGGGCGGCCAGCTCGCGCTCGTCCAGGGTATACTCCTGCAGCGGCACCGGCTCTGGCCGCGTCACACTCGGCGGCTGAGGAGGGAAGCGGAGGGGTGTCAAGTTGACACCGAGGCAGACAGTTCCTTGTCAGCAGCGGGGAGTGTCAGATTTCTCCACTTCCAGTCTAAGTTAATGTCTGAGCGAGCATTATCCCAGCCCACGCTAAGGAATTGTAAGCAATGGCTATCGCATCATGATGAAAATGTTTTTAGTACTGTTTTGCAGTTTTTAGTACTGTGGCTAGCGGTGCAGAAAGGATTTTTAGGGGGAGCTTCGTAAGCACGCATTACGTCATATTTTGACTTTCTGTCGGAAGCCATCCGTGGTGAAGAACGAAAACAAATTTGGGATTCCCCGGGGAAGTTTCCAGCCTATCTTGGCTGCGCCCCTGACTAAGACCACTCGTAAGGTCTCTCTCTCATTCCCTTCGTTGGAACTAACGTGGACTCCGGTTCTCCTGATCTCCGAAGCCTATGGCTTTAGGCCAAAATAAAAAAGTTACATCAACTGCAAAACAAAAACTGCTCTGACAGGGTACATGGCGAACAAGTACCTCACCTTAGCCTTGCGGACAGTTGCAGGCCTCTTCGCTCGACTGGTCTTGCTCATTCCTCACCATGCAGTTTCCGCGGCGTTCAGGTACCTACTCGACTAACCCGACCCGTCCGACTGCTGATCGCTCTGCGGCAGTACTCATTCGACTCCTGCTGATCGTCCTGCGGCAGTACTCACCCGACTCCTGCTGATCGTCCTGCGGCAGTACTCACCCGACTCCTGCTGATCGTCCTGCGGCAGTACTCATTCGACTCCTGCTGATCGTCCTGCGGCAGTACTCACCCGACTCCTGCTGATCGTCCTGCGGCAGTACTCACCCGACTCCTGCTGATCGTCCTGCGGCAGTACTCACCCGACTCCTGCTGATCATCATGCGGCAGCGGCTGCCGATCAGAGGATGCCCATCCCCTTAGCGCCGTATTGCTGCCCACTGGAACCGGTCCAGCGCCCGACTGCGAGGCGCGTAACCCAACGTGACCCGGCCTGACCCCGCGTGACCCCGCGCGGCCCCGCGGTCAGCGGCGTCCACGACACCGCCGGAAGAGGCCGACTCCTTTCACCTGTTGAAAAGCCGGGAGAGTTCGTAAGGTGCGCGTTGGTGGCAGTGCGCGGTCGGGCTCGTGCGTTCCGCCGGGGACGCGGGCGAGGACCCACGCCCGTCGGTGTGAAGAGGTGACTGTCTGCACGCCTTGCCGGCGGCAGCGCACGCGCTGCTTCGTGGAATCTCAAACGGAGCGGCTAATGAGACTAATCAGGAGTCCATCTGGATTCCTCTAGTTCGTAACTCTCCAAATGGATGCTACTTTGGTATGACCACAAATGCTTATCAAAAGCGGATTTTACGGCTTACTTATCAGCAAAGCCCTAAACGAGTGCCATGATTGGATATGAAATTGATCGTTCTGCGCCGGCAAACTAATCCGACAATTTTCAACTTAGCGAGCACACCACACGCGCGTGCATCACGCACACACCGCACGCGCGTGCACGCGCGTCCTCTCAACGCATGCAAGAGCACTGCCGTGTAAGCTAAACGCCGCTAACAGGATCCACCTCAAACGGTACTCCTGTGGAGCAGCGGCAGGCCCACACCACAATGGGACGGACAGCACTAGGCGCGGTCGTTTTCAGAGCTCGAGCTGGTGAGTTAGGGCCGCGGCCGGCCCCCGGCCCCCAGTGGCAGCAGCTCCTGACGGCGCTTGTGGGAGCGGCCGCCCCTGGAGAGGACTTGCTGACTGGGCGGCATCGGTGCGCCCGGCATGCCTCCCGAAGGCGGCCGGACCCCGCCCGCAGTCATGGCGCCCTCACACGAGACTGCCCGGCCCCACCTCAGGCACCCTACGACATTCCATGACCGCCTCAGGCGCCGCGGGGCCTCGGCGGCGTGGTGGGCCACGTGCGTACGCAGGTACGGGGCCTACGAGTACACAGAGGCTTGCATGAACACGGTGCTTGGCATGCAGGCACGTTACAATGACGTCATGCCAGGGTTCTGGTGAGTACACTACATGCTGATCAGCCGAGACGCCTTCCTACGCCTTCAATGGCATGCCCGCGATGATCCATAGCGGGAATTCCACGGACTTGACCCTGAACTGTGCGCCTGGGGGTCAGTCCCGCGCCTTAAACGGCCCCTTTCCGTGAACAGCGCCAGCAATTAAAGCCCATTAGCGGCAGGCATACAGCGCAGGTGCCCCGAGCGGTGGAGGGGGCGGGCCTGGGCGGCATCTGCACACCCTATCGTGGGACCGGGGCGGCCGCGCGCCGGTCGCGTCGCTCACGGAACAGAGATGAGACCCGAACTGGGCCGACTTCGTGTGCCCATGATTGGTGAAAGCAGGGCGCACTGGGAGAAAAGATACGGTGAGGATTGAGTTGATAGGGAAGAAATATTGAGATGTGGTAAGAGTGATGGAACATTTCACTCAGCAGTTGCTCTTACGTCTTAGCGGAAGAAAAAGCCTCGAGGAGTCGTGTAAAGCGTAATTTCTCTTGGCAAACACTGTTATCTAAACAGCAGTTTTGACACAAATTGCTTAGTGATTATGCATGCCAGTAAACTACGTTGGAGCCACGCACCCACACGAATACGGGACACACGCTGCAGCAACAAGCTCCAAGAATTCCACGATTTATAACTAGTTTGGTGCAATTTATGTCCAGCTTTTGGAAGCCAAACACAATGACCCACTAAGACAACGTACCGCCGAAACTTCGCGGACTCCGCTCTGTGGTACACATCAGTGTTGTGAAACGGACGGTTACTTGGAAAGCTCAGCTGAAGGCTGTGCAGAAGCTCTTAAGGAACAGAGACCGAACACTGATCGGGTGCAGACTGCAATGGGGTCAGAGCATGGGAGTGGAGAAACACGCTATAACGCGACACCGCCCCGCACATCATAACTGACCAACACATCTCGTAAAAAGTCATACCCAGAACAATTTGCATGGACATGGGCCGTCGGAATCCAACGTGACGTCATCAAAGGGTCACTCGGTTTGGGTCATGACCTGAACTGATCGGCAGTCAGGTCCGGCTCGCTGCATTGCTTAGTCCGGTGGGAAAATCGGCACCGCAGTCTTACGTCACCGGCTGAACGACGCGAGTGGCGGTGTCGAGCCCTTACGCGGGTCTTTGGCTGCAAACCTGCACCGGCCGCAGACTACCAGCATCTCGTTGGAAACCGGCGCAGACGTGAGCCTTTCCGCCGCGATCACGGGGTCACATCCGTTCAGCTAATTCGTGATGAAAAGTAACGGTGCGGCGATGCTGAGGCGTTCTCGGAACTGGGCGGTCCGTGAGAAACGCCGATCGTCCAAACCGGCACAGCTGTTACGCCCGCCGTGAAGCAAACCGAGCCGCTCTAGACGAACCGCATGTGCCCAGGCAGTGGCGTAGCCGTGGCGTCTGGAGAGGAAAGGGCTCGATCGCCATCCTATGGTAACATCGAGCGAACTGAGCTGCTTCCGCCTTTAGCCCGGGCTCAGCATGCGAGTGCGTCGTTGGGGAATATTATGACGACAGGGATGGAAACGAGGGACGGAGAGTAGGCAATGTTAGCCCGAGGCGATAGGCGGATTAAGGCGATATTTTACAGAAAATGCACACATGAATTCTCTGATCAGAACCTGATAAGAACGATGCCAGTCGTTTAATGATTTATATAAACTGCCATAATTTGACAGGCCAAGGCGAGATAGTCAATGACTAAATAAAGAAAGTTCACCTCGGCAACTTACATTATCACCTACAAGTGCTCAAATCGCCTCAGCATTATTACTTTCAACGTGTGCCCATGGCTTTTCGGCATGCTGAATATTTGCCACAGTGATTTTACCAACAGGCCCAAAACAGGCACTTTTGGGACCGTTGGGCATGCAATTAATAGCTGACAGCAAGTCCACTTATCACGCATAAATCATCATTGGAAGATGGACGAAAATTTTGGTTAGTTAAAACTTTGCTTGCTTAGAAACGTTTGGCCTTTGTTAATACGTGTTTGTACCAAACTTTCGTGCATAAGCATATACAGAAAGAAGTTCCAAGGTCGAAGCAGTATCACGGACAGAAAAAAATGTTCGAACTATCAGCCTCGTCTGGTGTATTAGCATACACACAGCGTTTCGGTCAGCAAATTATCCGGCCGTCGTCAGGGTTATGGAGTCACTAGAAGGGCTGGATGATGTTCGGCTTTCAGCTATATACACGTTGTAACCAGAATTATCCCCGTGGAATCGTCATGCAGCACTGCTGTCACACGCCACTCGTTCTCGCCGTCTTCCAGATGCCAACGCTGCCGCCTGCCAAGCGGCAGCAGCGAACACCGACAGCGATCTCTGCAATTTGTGATCCAGTCACAGCAGGTGCCGCCATATGACAGCTGCAGTACTACAATGTGCAGCCCAGCCATCTGCTGTGCTGCCGCTGGATCTCTGTACCCGGGGACCCCGCCTGGCCAGCCCATGGCACGGTGCTGGCGGAGTGCCTGGTAGGCGAGACAAATAATGCAATCCACCCCAGGGCGAATTCCTCCGTTTTAGTGTCTGCGGCCAAGGCCAGCTGCGTTCAGGGTAACACGCGAACCGCCGATCAGCCTGCGCTGCTGGGCCGACTTGGCGTGGTATTATGACCGGACGGGTCTGCATGTGCCACCGCAGCCGGCCGGTAATGCATCGGAACACCGAATAAAGGGGTGATAAAAAAGCCAACGAGAATGCGGATCGAAAGGGAACAAAAGCGTGCGTAACCGCGCGTGGACGTCTACGTCTGCACAACTGCGCGTGGACGCCCACGTTTACGTAACAGCGCATGGAAGCCTACGTCGTCATTCTTCAACGTCTTATGTCAGTCTTTTATCTTTTAATGGGATTCAGGGCCGCAAGCATCACATACCAGCCACGTTCGAACTTCATGCAATGCAGCTGCCTTAAGGTGCTGTGGTTTAGAACAAATCCTACCCATGACATGCGACCAGCAATCTTACTAATTCCTTTGTACCACACACAGAAACAGGAACATACAATAGGCCTCAAGCTAGCCGAGACAGACACCATAATGAATCACGCTTGACAGGTGTTACAACATCCACAGGTCAACAAATGAAATTTATGGCTTCCGCCGGGAACACGAACATAACGAAGGCAAAGTCACTGAGCCTCTCACCAGAACGTCTGACGAAAGCAGCCTCTATCCGGATTCTTTGGCGCAGCCTATTGACGGTAGCCGTGGTACGACTGAGGCACCACTGCGTGCCACACTCGTGACGCCGCGTTCCGGAGCAGCGCGGCAGCGGCCTCTTCCCTCGCACGGCAGCCTGGCCGGAGCGCGCCGTGCACGCGCCGCACCCCTCCACCCGGCGCAGCACCTCTCGCCGTCTCCACGACGCCCGCGCCGGCACCACACCGCTGAGACACCTGCACCGGCGTCGACCGGGCTCCCGGCACCAACTGCACCACCCCGGCGACGCCCGAGACGGGCGCGGGCCAGGCCCCGCCTCCTGACCCTGCCGGGCGCGCGTGCACCCCCGAACACAGGCTCCACCCCTCGGGCGAGCGCGGCTCGGCCGCCCGAGCCGGGTGCTCGGCTGAGCCGCGTCACGGGAGTGCGGGTGGCGCACTGCCGGCCGGTGAGCTTCAGCGGCGAGCGAGCGCCGCCGTGGCAGCTCGGGATACCGTGCTTTTGGGGCAGACTCAAGTCCAGCCGGTATTAGCTTCGTCAGCCGGTATTAGCTTCGTCAGGTGCCGTATCCAGCCGGGCTCACCCTGACAAAGTTTGGTGGTCACAGCCTGGTCCACAACACAAAATGCACCACTCAAGGGTCACTCCGAGGTCACGATTAAGCCCCGAGGTGGCGGGAGACTGCTAATGAAGGATTTGCCAGTGATGCGTCCTTGCGTGATTACGTCTCCGCCTGACCGACTTCTACACGCCGCGGTGTCTTTGTCTGACACCAAATGGCGGTCAGAGGTCAACATGAGTCATTGAGCTGGGTAGGGGGTGGGGGAAGGAATCTGTATCCCTGCCTGAAATTGGGTTAACGGGGAGCCCACCCGAAATGGTCTCATGCTGCGCCTGACAGGCAAAGTGAACAGGTAAGCTTGCGTGCCTATTGTATCAGCGAAGTTACCACCCCCAAGGCTTGTAACTGAGCTCGGTTCAATCGACCCAGTCAGTGCCTTCAACGCAAACCAGGGAGTTAACGTGCTCGGCTGCGAGCGGGGCGGTGTTCGTGAAGCTATTACCACGTGGCACGCCCTAAACACCCACGATCGCGGTGCCCAAGCATGGCGAGTGGAGTGGACGCCAGCCCCAATCAATATTATCGATATCATTAGGAACCGTTGAAAGTGCCGTAAAACAAGACATGGCTGGTTAATAGTGCACAGATGCATTGATATTTGTTGATTTGAGTAGGCAGCTTTCCAGTCGGCATTTCTTGCCGATTACGACAGCATGCTATATGTTTGTTATCTTCTTTTGGTTTCGCTCAATATCTCGAGCCAAGTTTCTCGTGGATGATCAAACTAAAAAAGATCTTGTCCCAAATTCGTCATCATGTTCAGATGTTTCGTGAAACAATTGAATTTGTTAACGGGAAAGCAAGTTCTGGTGTGAACAAATATGGCATATATGTTGCACTTCGTTGATGATAGTCCAAAGTTTACATGTGCGTAAGCGTTCATATGTTCGTTACATGCTATGTGCGTGATACAGGGAGTAAAATCACCCAGGTTGACCTCACATTTTACCGCTACGCATCCCTTAGGTCACTACAAGTCGCTCCAGATAGTTACAGGATGAGAGATCGACCGCCGCAACCTTCGCACCAAGGAAATCGTCATGATTCGGATCTGGTAACCCCGAACACCCAGCAGGAGCAGGACGGTATGCTCACAACATGGAACATTCAGTCATTTTGCATGTCACGGTCGGTGATATATATATATATATATATATATATATATATATATATATATATATTGCCGTTCGTGCGAGGTTTCGTAGGAACGCTTGCCGTTTTCGGATATCGGTCATAGCATTGACCAATATCCTGTTATTTGGAATATATGCTTCTAACATTTCACAGGTGAATAGTAATAATACTAACGCCAACATGGTGGTCTCGCCGCATCATTAACCACGTGCAAATCGGAGCTCCAGAAAGACACCTAAGGTTAACGCATGACTCACAGCTCACCCGAAACATCATGGTCGGTAACACTCCCACCGTAGTCAAATGCACTGACAATAAGAATCTTACGACTTGAGAAGCCGAATATTTTAGAGGCAGGGGTCCCATCGTTAACCGACAAATGAACATGGTGTGCCCTGTCGTAACATAACGCATAACTCTCGCACACAGGCCAGAGAGTGTGAATGCGCAATTATTTTTATGCAATCTCATCACGTATATGGATGTCATGAATATCCATCCTTCATTTGCATCACTGACTGTATGAAAAGCGCATGCACACACTGTGTGCCTAAATCGTTGTTAAATCTTTATTGAACACATGAAACGGTGTTTCGTTTCATTGGAGGCATCTTTGTATTCAGAGCGCTTTGTCTTGCAGACATTTTAGAAATTTCAATGGAACATATCTGAGGTCCCCGAAAAATGACAATGAATTCACTACCGATTCAAGACACTGCCAAATGTATTATGTTGTTTTATTGTGCCTGTATTGCACTTCTGACCGCATTGATGGATTTCAAGAGACGTAATGCGATATCGATATAGGCGCCATCGTACATTAACTTTTCGAATGATGGTAGACATTTTATAAGGGGCCTGGAGAACTTCGGGAAGAAGCAAACAAATGTAAAATATGCTGCCATCCTCACGGATACACGCCTATATATATAATCGGAGCTCCAGAAAGACACCTAAGGTTAACGCATGACTCACAGCTCACCCGAAACACCATGGTCAGTAACACTCCCACCGTAGTCAACACCATATATATATATATATATATATATATATATATATATATATATATATATATATATTCGTTGCGCGTCCTTTCTTTGAACATGGCTCCAGGTCATCTCAGGGAATGGAACACAACCTCAAAAGAACTTGAGGGTGTTAAGCAAATAAATTGGCTAACCTCCTCTGAACTACGGCATATGGGTTCTCCAGAATTTGACCCACTTTCTTTTCAAACTTGGGTAGACGCGGAAGTCTCCCACTGAGTTTGAAACTCCACCCATGTCAGACCTCCGTGCTATGGCAGCATGTTGAAGGTTCGTAGAATCAGTTGATGGCTTATGCCGGTTGGTGCTGTTTTCTGACAACGAGTGACACATGGGGCACCAAAAGAAGGTACAAAACAATAAAAGAACAGGATCATCAGCTGATATCTTTATATACCTATATATATATATATATATATATATATATATATATATATATATATATATATAGGTATATATGTATATATGCAACGGTGTACCCAAGGCTCAAGGAGGTTAATTCCGTCTGGTGGCTTTTTCGGGTTGTGATTGGTTTTCTAGCTCTATTGCTGTGGAATCTGATTCAAAGCATATTTTGTACCGCTGTGGTTAAAACATTATTGTTTTGTGCCCTGAAAGCTGCGTTTTTCGATGTTACGTTGCCCAACATTGCAACTGAGCTAAACTAGATAGCAACTGGTTGGCTTCAAGAAATCAAAACGGGCATCGTTGGAATTCTTGCACATCAAGTTATCTCTTGGCTTCCGATCTATGACACGCGCTTGACTCGCGCGCAAAAGGCGAGAGGGCCTGCCATCCCCATCCGTCGTCGGCGACGAGTGTGAAAACAGATATAACATGGTGCAGGATCCTACGTGCCTATGTACTATGCTAAAATCAGTGAAAAAACGTCGGCTTTCTGTAAAATCCTAGGGCTGGTCATAGCTTTCATCGTCAATTGTCAAAATAATGAACTAATACATACCTGACCGTTCAGTCACTACTACTTGAACTACTGTAAGCAGACTTTTGCTAAGGTGCTGTGAAATGAATAGCAATATTGGCAAAGTCGTCTCGTCTCATATTTGGATGGTGTGTCGCATGTGACCTCACAGGAATTGCACCAATAATTATTTCCACGCGACACACACTTTGCATGTGAGAATTTGGCCTCCAAATTTAGTAGTCTTGCAATGCGGGTAAAGTGGCTCATATCACTTATGGCTTCTGTAAGGTAAGTTCACAACATGTTTGCGACCTATGCTACCAATCACTATTGCAAGAACTGCAATCCCACATTGAACTGTTGGCATACCATCAACATCAATGTCAATGCCATGCAATGCACTTGGCTGGATCTTGACAAGTCCAGACTGCCAGCTGTCAGGCTTAGGGCAGTCTATTTCAAATTTCATGGTGTATAATTTATGGGCGTGGGTTACAAGCTACCGGGTAGAATGTGCAAGCCTAGAACTGAGACTTGAAAGGGCTGGTTGGAAAGAGCTTCAGGTTACAGAAGATGTATTTTTGCTGCACTGCATTTGCTAGGTCCTAGCTACAAACTTGCTTTTTTGCTGTTTATACCTATTTCACAAACCTTGATATCTATATCATATATATATATATATATATATATATATATATATATATATATATATATATATGTATATATACATACGTCTATATATACACACACACACATATATATATATATATATATATATATATATATATATACACGAATGGATCATACGGCCGATGAGTCATGACGCAACATGCCAGAACCGAATCTGATCTTTGATATTGCAAGCGGTGTGAGTCATTAGTCAAATGATTCAATGCAAGCAATGTTCTGGACTAAGCTGAGCAAAACAACTTGGAACGGCTACGAATCATGAGCTAAATTGGATCCAAAAATATGTGAGTCAGTCCCGACCAGGTTCAACAACGTTAAGTCGAACACAAGTTTGCTTCTCATTGCATTGGCTTCATACCACGCATGCGTCAACTAGTAGGCCATCAGCAAACTTGCTCGGCCCGCAAAGCCAAGGACACGCTTTCGTGGATGTCAAAGACCAAATGTTTTATAGCGTGGGAATGTGGTCTCGTTATTATGCTTTGACATCGCATCCGTGCAACTATTGTAATCGCAACAATTGTAATCAAACAAAAAGCTACTTGTTGAAATGATTCGTGAATGCAATGAACTGAACTGAACAAGGACTTTAAACGCCCGTAAGCCTACGAGCCTACACCAACTGCTCAAAGCCTCAATAAGAGGCGCAAAACAGCGGCTAATCGCCCGAACTTGGAATCTGTCTTCGTCATGGGTGTAACCACTGAGAGGGGCGGGGGAGAGTAGCCCACTCAACTGTTTTTCTTCACGTGCTCCTTTGTTCCGATCAGTGTTTCCCACAGAGCGCACGACCTTTACGTTTTCGGCTT